ACTTTACTTAGTATATTATTAAGTACTACTAGCTCGTCTTTGAATTATATCATGATTCTGTTGATGCGGATGCGTTCTGCTTTCTTACGTCGTCTATTATATTATGGTGGTACCGGTGATTTTTCTTTAAACCTAACTGTTTTCGTTTTCTTCGTAGTTAGCGCAGAGGATTCCGGTTCTTCCGGCGGTGCGGCTTCGCCTTTTTGTTCTCTCTGGTATAGTTAATATTTAGGTATATCCTTAATGTCCTAATAGACCTTCTTGGTCTTCTATTGGATGATAGGGTTATTATTAAGTAACCAGGGATAGCCTAAAAGAATGTTATTTTTTAGTATGTTTAGAACACTGAATTGGATATTATGGGTGTTCCCGTTAATGGTTACGGGGAGATGATTAGTCTTATATTTAATAAGTCCTTCTTTTATTTCTGCTCCTATAACGCTTATGATTTATAGCGCTTGTTCCTTTCGTTAAACGGGGATTCGTAGTTCCTTAATTAGTCGTAGTAAGATTAGATTGCAATCTACTCCGCTGTTAATGTACGCAGTAACGGTACTATTATTAAGTTATACGTTAATTCTGAGTTTTTTTATTCCGGTTGTCTTAACTATGTTAATTCGTATATCCTTTTTCCAGTTAGGATTATAGTTGTCCTTAGTAATGATGTTAAGGTCTTTAATTATCTATTGTTGTACTTATTGCTGTCGGAGTTTTCGGTACTATTAACATTTGTTGGTGTCGATTTCGTTAATGTAGTATTTATAGAAGCGTTTAATATCCTTTTTATAGGCATTACCCTTGTCGTAGGTCTCGAAGTTAAATCCGTTACAGTATAACCGGTGTCGGAGTCGGATATATTTTTCCTTTTCTCTGCAATACTTTTTACAATATTCATCCTTATATTATAGGGGGTTGTTTTCAGAATAGGCTTCCCTTTATGTATGCTATTTTTCAACCTTGTGGTCAAGGTATTATCTACATCCTTAGTTAGGGCACTGATCCGGATTAATTTCTATGTAAATTTTATTATACAGGTTTTCGTATTAGATCCAGAGGTGCTAATCGTAAATCTTTTATTCCTAGTGTTTTTTACAGAGTATTTTATAGTATTATTTCACTATTAAATACCCACAGTCTTCCGTAAATAGGGTATTATATATAAACTGCATTTCTTCTTATTTAAGGAACTAATCTTTAGTTATAATAGGGTAGTAGGGGTTTGTATTAGCGCATTCCGCTAACCCGTCGTTGCTTAGCGCTTGTCGCTAGGTAATTCCGTGCTGTTTAAGCATCTATTGGAATTCGCTTAAGTCGTACATTTCTGTCCCTTCTGAGTCGTAGTCAGAGGGTTTCTATCTACAGGGGTAATTTAGTCCCTGGGGTTTTCGTAATCTACAGTTTGCGTATAGTTCCGAGATATTAAGGTCGGTGTATCCTTAATTCTTCCTATGCTCTTCTTCCTATCTGCAGATAAAGGTATTTTCTTATTCCTTCTCTTCTTCTGTAAGTAGAATATTAAGGGCTTTGGATTATACCCTATCGGCTTTATATTCTTCCTGAGTTATAGGGGCAGGCTAGTTGCTGTTAACCTTATCTTTAGCTTCTTCGGAAGTTATAGTGTTAACCGTAATTTATCTTAGCTGCTTTCTCTTAGGTGCCTTAGGGTACTACTTCGTTATTTCCTTTTCTTCTTTATGTATAAAACATTAATCATTATAGCAGCTGGTCCAACTAAGTAAGTTATAAGGTACGGTTTTAATAGTGTTAATCTAAACCTTATTAAACTTCTTATTCTTATAGGTGGATTTTCTGGAATTGTTGGGTTTCTTATGTTTGCTTTAGTAGTCCTTTTCTTTATAGCCTGTCTTGCCATAGTGGTTGCATTTGCCCGTGAACTTGCGGGTGTTGATGGTGTCTAGATCTATTAGTCCTGGTTTCCTATTATTTAATAAGGCTAAGTTGCGTTTCTTACTTTAATTAGTATAATATTAGAGGCGGTGGTGCGCCTTGTTATTTCCTCCTTTTTCGGCTTGCTTTTTTTTCCGTTGTTTGAATTGTTGGTTATTAATATAACTAGCCTTTTTGGAGAGTACTTTAAATGTGGCCGGAAGATCGTCTCGTGCTAGTTTATCTTTTACTTCCGATTTTAGTCCTTAATAGTATAATATCTTCTTAGCTGCATCTTTAAGGTCTGTTTTAGCGTAGATTTGAATAAACTTGGCAGTGTATTTGGTATATGCGCCTTGTTGTCGGAGTTTTAGCAGTGCGTTTTCTGCTTCCTTCTTTTTATCAATCTGGCCGAATAGTGCCTTAAGTTAGTTTTTAAATTCTTTATATCTGTCGAAGAGTACGTTAGTGGTGGCCTTTCTTTTGGCTTAGTTGTATTACTTGAAGTCTCGAAGGTATGGTTTAAACTAATTCTTAGGTCCTTTAATGAGTCGGCTTCCTGCGATGCTGACTTATTATTCCGGCGGGGCTATGGTAGTTGGAAAGTGCCTGAAATAGGACCTTATATCCGTAAGGAATCCCTTGATTTTTCGTAGGTCCTTATTAAATAGTATTAGCAGAGGTGGCTTGATGATCTTACCTGGTTCCTTCTTGCGGGGACCTCTCTGTTAGCCTTGAGCTACGGGTGGTTGCCTTTGTTATTGCTGTTAAGCGTTAAGTTATCTATTAAGCGTATTAATAGTGTTTTATTAGTCCCTAATAGTTTATTTTATATAGGTAACTAAGGCTTTAAGGTTTAGGAAGCGCTGTTGTGCTTTAGTATTATTGGCCGGTAGTTGAGGGGTTGTGATTCCTTTTATGTTAGGATTTATGGTTTCGGTAGTTTTTTTAAATAAGTCTGAAATTTTAATATTACTTCCGTATATGCTCTGGACTTCGCTTTCTTAATCTGTTCCTACGTCTGGTACGTGGAATTTAACTATTTAGTATTTTTATAATAATATTGCCCGTGGTCTAAGGTGACCTCTGAATAAGAGTTGTAAATGTGTAATAAGCTAAGCTTCTATAGTGTTAGTATAAGAGGAATTCCTAAGGGATAAACCTTATACTAGGTTTATGTTAGCGGATAGGCTAGGCTGGACTGGCGGGTAATTAATAAGGATAAAAGGGGTTTGTTTATATAACTAGTAGATAATACTTTATAGGTATAATTAAGCGTTATTCTGTATTTACAACTGGCTATTTAAACTTATTCTAAACGAGCGTTATAAAATAAATATATAGTTTGGAGCTTACTTAAGCTCACTTATCCTAGAGTGAGCTGGTTTCCTAAATAGGAAGTGGCTTACTCTGGCTCACTCGTTGTAGCGTAAGCCTTACTATAATTAGGTCCTCGGTCCATCATAGTTCCGGGGTGCCTTACCCTGTAGGCCTATTGTTACAACCATAAAATGTGTTGGTTCGTAATAATTATCCTTTTTTAGATTATTTTCTTTAGTAATTACTATAAAAGTATTTAGCTATTAAATAACCTTTTTAAGTCTATTTTATTATAAATATGTAAACTAAATCCTATACTTAGCTTTAGCCTTAGAGTACTTTAATAGTTAAACCCTAATATAATAGTAGAAATATTACCTTTAGTATAAGCTATATTACTTTATTATTACAGCCTTTTAGTTTCTACTAAACAGCTTATTTAATACCTTTGTTATATTAATACTATTAAGCTACTTTAGTATTTAATTTAGTACTTTATTAAGCTGCTTTATATATTTTATAAGAACCTAGTTAAAGCTAGCGCTAAGTTACTAAAGCTGTTAATTTACCTTAATTACCTTTTACTAATATTATTAGGTTTTAATTACTTTTATAGCTACTAATATAGCTATTTTATAAAGTACTTTTTAGTTTTTTTATTTTAGATAATAAATAAGTTTTATAAACTTAACTTATTTTAAATTTATATTTACCTTACTTAGCGTTTTAATAAGCTACTGTTTTTTCTTTTTTTTTTTATTATACCTAGCTTATAAACCTTAGCTATCTTTACTAGTGTAGTAATATAATTACTACTATTATTACTATTTTTATTACCTATTTTTATATTAGCTAGGCTTATTTTATAATATTACAGTAGCTAATTATACTATTATACTAGCTATTTATATTAATAATCTAATACCTAAAGCATTTACTTTATAAAAATATTTATAGTATAATAGCCTTTTACCCCTTTTTACTTAGACTAAGTTTATATTTACTATAAGTCTAATAAGTAGTAGTATTTTTCTTATTTATTATTTAATATAGGTATATATTATAACTATATTTTTAAAAGCTTTATAAGTAGCTAATAAATAAACTATAGTTACTTAGGAGCTTAACTAACTATAGATTATTTATTATAATATTTAAGTTAATTGAAAAGTAAAAACTAATAATAATTTTTAATTTAGCTATTATTAACTTATACTTTTTTTAAAAATAGGATTTAATAAAACTTTCTAAAGGTAAAAGAGTAATATAGTATTTTAAGTAAAGTAATAAGCTATATAAATTATAAAAATTAATAAACTTATTTTTAGGAAGCTGCTTTATAATTAATATTTAAGTATAAAAAGTAGAATTATATATTTATTTACTACGGCCTTATTTTACTTATATAAAGTATACCCCTTTTCCTTAACTATACCCTAGTTTATATATCTAATATACTTAACCTATACTAACGGGCCCCACTTAAGTTTAGAATAAACTAATTAAAATAGTTGTTTTAGGTTATGTTATTTAACTTTAAATGGTTTATGTATATTAGCAGTTTACTAGTAATCAGCGTGTTGTTGCAGCTGAACAACCAGTGGATTAATGAACAGGCACCTACGTGGCCTATCTCTGTTTCGGCCTCCGACTTAAGGGTTATTCTTTATCGATAAGAAACCAACTCTACCCCAGTCTTCTAAATCAACTCTACCCCTAGTCTAGTGGGTTATACAAGGGTTATTTAAATCAACTCTAGTAGAGTTGATCAGAGCCTTACCATCGTAGGCAATTTATGCGGCCAACGCAAAGATATCGTCATTGGCAGCCGCAATAAAACGAGCGGTGCTTCCACCGTCTAAGTTTCCAGAGATCACCGCAGCCCCAGGCTGATTATCGAGAGTCGCCAATGATACTCGCACCGCTTCTAGGATATTATCTTCCCCCGCCGTAGCGAGGAGGTTTCCCCAAGTGCCCGAATCTAGTACTGCAGCAAAAGTCGCATCACCGCCTTCGCCATGAATCGTTTGAGCTAAGTGGATGGTATTGCCCCTGTTCCGACGCATATCATCGACAACCATGGCAGCCAGTGCAGTCTGCCGATTTGGATTGCGGGTGAGTCTTATTTTTCGTTCGAACGTCAACTTAATTTGGTGTAATACGCATCGCAATCTCGAGAATAGAGTTGTACCATTGTCGCAGTCGCGGCGATTAACAGCTGAGGCTCGGACAGCGACATCCGTGTCTAGCAACGGAGCCTCTGTTCCGTTTATCAGGCCAAAACGTCTGTCAACCTGTCTGTTGACAATGTAGACTTGTGCAATACCGGAATTATCAGAGTAAACCCATTCGCCAAGCCCAGCGCACTGAACAGCTAGCATGTTGAACGAAGCCCCGACTAGAGTCGAATCAATCCCGGAGCCCCCTGCCTTCTTGCTGCGCATCTGTGCCACGCAGTACCCATACTGTGTCGATCTATACGTGTCAGGAAGCCAAGCTACCCCGTCACAGCCAGTTTGCTGAAGGACAAGCATGTTCCACGCCTTTTGACAGTCTCCCCACGAATCGTAGTCGGGGTAGTTCGCAGCACCACCAGCAGTACATTTGTAGTACGTATCGCCTCGAACCGTTGATATCAGTGGAAGTAGGGAGCTCACAGCTCGAAGACTTTTCAATAGCATCATTTCAAGCAATGATTAAAGTGTAACAATTAAGGTGAATCACTCTAACTTGCCAGATGTGAAAAAACCCACAACTCTGAAGAAGGTGCTCCCAAAGGAGCATTATATTGACGGCGGAAATGTGATCTCGAGTATAGTAATAGAACTGTTTTTGCGTAAGCATAATAAACATAATTAGAGGCAGCTTACAAATACAGAGTGGCCAACCAGATTCCAAAATAGGAAAATCTACACCACAGGCTAAGATCCCTTTTTAGCTTCGACCCTCAGCATGAGGTACATGGGTATACATCTTACAGACTTAAATACACTACTCTATCTTCCCGTCGGACTAACATAACTGTTAATTCAGTCTGCAAGATCAGTAATGCTGTAAAAGAGTATGGAAACAGCTGCTAATTGTGAAAATCCTACACAATCTCCAAAACTAGTGCCCGTAGATTTATGAGTGATGTTAGTTACAGTGAGGGCACCAGAGGCAGTGGAGGCAGTGTATGTTTTTCCGAATACGATAAAAGTATCGAATTTGTTACGCTTACGTTTACTATGGTACTTATTGCTACAAAAGTAACTCTTCAAACTATTCTCCTATTCAGGCAATAGCCAAACAGACAAGAATCATAACAGCTCCTAGCCTACGGAAGAGTAACAGAGGGTCAGCCGTGGCAGGCATCTCAGTTCGGCATCTTCTCGGCGACATACTATTTGGAATTACACGTACCGTTATGATTGGATATGTGCAGGGGGAACTAGCCATGTACACTGCTCAGATCGGTAAACTCTGACCTGATGCATGAAAGTACGCTTCAAAGTAGGTATTCAACCAAAATTCGTGATTATTCAACATTTTCGCTCATAAGCAACTGCTCTTAGGTTGCGCAGCACTTGCATGTGTATATTATGTCCATCTGTAATCATCCTGGCCATGGGGCCGAAGCTACCAGGTCGGAAGCTTAGGGTTGGGCCAAATTCTAGAAACGACTGAGGCCGGAACATGACGCATGAATACAGTAGTTGGTAATTGTCCACGTTAGGCAGCTTTTTTATGTATATCCTTGGCAAATTTTCTTGTTATTGATTACTATCTACAGATCTTACAGTGCTGTACATACCGAGGCTCTTACGAGTAGTCTATTGGATCCCTAAGCATTGTTTTAATAATCGGATTTGGAGGCGGTGACATCCGCTACCCCATATGGTGACATAGCTGAGAAGGAATTCATGGAGGCGACAAGGTTATTTTTGTTTTCTATATTTCTAAGGTGGTGCACATGTACGTTTCCTCCAAATATTTTTTTCTTGACAGTTCCATATTCTGTTGTAGGCATTCTGATGCCGAAGTTGACTAATCGCGGCTCTACAGTTGCCAAACTAAGCCGAGTCAAATACAGGGGGGTGTAATCCCTGATTATTGAACAATGGGAATGGCTACATGTGCCAAGACAACCTAAGAGTCTGCTTGGTCAGAACGACTGGCCTCGGAACATCTGAGTCGCCGATGCTAAGTATTCTGGCCGGATTGAACACGCCGGGGCTATTCTCAGCAGAGTTGCAAGCGGAATATGCAGCGGGAATGGTGAAGAACCTTTGCTTGTCCAGAGTGAAACTAGACGACACGTACATGTACATTTATTAGGGCAGCCATCCGTGGCTGGAGGCAGGCAGAGCAGATTTAGGTCAGCTTTCAGCGGGCAGTTCAGAAGGGAAGTTCCTCCGCGAATTGCGAACAGTCTCACTAAAGCTGCAGTTTATACCAGCGTAGCGCTCCCTGGAGATAACAACAAAAGCACCTCGGTAATACAACAATAACGAAATGCTTTTTTTCGTTTCATTTCCCTTCTAGTGCGCTTATTAATCTGCCACTTAACATCCACGGGGCACTCGTGAACCTATTAGGCCCCGATCACATTGTTACATGTAATCAAAGGAACACGTTCGAGTAGGATATCCCAAAATAGTCCCGGGTAGTCACTGGTTCCCGGTCGTTTACCTGAAGTGCCACCAATGCCGGCTCCTGTCGCACCCTGCCACTTAATATCTGGCGTATTCGACAGTACCAATAATTTTTGCATCACGGGTTGTCGACAATGCGGTTGCTCTTTCGAGCTCAGGGGCCAACACCTGGAGCCGTTGCAATAGTATTCATACCCTCTAATATTCTATTCTCCCTGTATTACTGGCCATATAGATATAGCTGCTCTTTGGACGCTAAGCGGCATGTACCCAAGTCTGTATAATTCTGCCAATAGCAGGAGGTTATTTACAAAGGTTTAGGGGGTTATGCGTAGCTGACTGGGGTGAGGCGCCGCTGATCGCCAGTCAGCGGGAGGTTTAATACCACTTATAAATTACTTAAATATAACTATACTGTCTGCCGAGGTAAAAGTAAATACTATGTATATTACTGTATTTCCCTCTTATACTATTTTCACAGTAGTCTTAATTTATACTATATTATACCCTAGTATTACAAGCTAATATGTGTATAGCTGCAATAACAGGCCTATACTGTGAGCGAAGAATGACTAATGTTCTTCTTTAAACCTAGCATATAGCTCATATATTGATTTCTCAAAGAACGCAATCATCTCGTTGGTTTTAGTGTCTCCAGGAGGTAGTAGTTGCGTTCCATAAACACCACATAGCCCAACTTCTCGGTCTAGGAACTGCAAAACTCGACGTTAATATCTAAATCCCAGTATTTAATGACGTTAGACGAGTTGCCAGCTTACCCAGAATAAATTTGGCATTCCGCTCCAAACCATACAGCCCTTCTTCCTCCACTGCATCCCGTCGATTGTGACATCTTGCATCGTTAATAAGCCACCAAGTCCCCAATCATATCGCACATGCTCTGGAAACGTGCCAACGAACAATCGACTTCTGTTAATGTCGCCGAAAGATTCCTGAAGGGACCTCTGGCTCTCGCGGCTGAGCTGAGGCTGAAACATGTCGACCGTGGTCTCCTTCTTTACTAGTTTCTCATCGTCTGCGAGTAGGCTTTGCAAGATCTTCATGAATTCGGGCAATGTGCCATAGGCGCCCTGGCCACCGAATTCTTCAGCGTATGCTCCACCAGGGTTGGGCCCTGAATATGGGAGCACCCTTACTTTACCGTCTGGTACATCGGAGTCGCGGACCGTCATGCCTGCCAAGCGGGCATTAAGCTCTGGTTGCCTTTCCGGCCAGAAAGTTATGTCCGTAATGTTCAGCGGTCCAAAGATGTTCTGTAGACAATAGTCTTCTAAAGACATCTTAGCGATTCGGGCAACACCCAACCCAACCCAATCCAGACTGCCACCATACTGCCAAGAACTACCTGGCTCAAACAAAAGCGGGCAGCCGAAGCGGTTTATCACATCCGGAAACGACGCAGTAGGAGGCAGTCCAATGGAAGCATGATACTCCTGGATGAGAGTAGAAGTCATGCTGTATCCAACGCCAGAGGAGTGGGTAAGGAGATGCCTGGAAATGGTTAGAAAGATGCAGTCGTTCGATTCATCGTTACTCGCAGGGTACATACCGCAAGGTGATTTCTTTTTCTCTCTTCTTTAGCACGGCTCTCCCTTCCTTCATCTGTGTCAAGACTGGCAGCGTCTCTAGCTCTGGGAGAATGTCGAAAACATTTTCGTCCAGTGTCCATTTTCCACGCTCGACCAACTGCAGGGCTGCAATCGTCGTAATCAACTTGGTAAAGCTGGCAAGGATGAATACCGCGTCAAGTTTAAGGTCATTTTGTATTCCATGTAACGACGAGGGACCAAATGCTTTTGAATACTGAAAGGTGCCTGTCTCATTAGTGGCCATCAAGACTGTTCCTGGGATTTTGCCTTCGGCAATGGCCGTAGTGAATGATTCTTCTAGTGATGGCATTTTCCCAGGCCTAACGCGTGTCGAGCTAGGCATTCGTCGCGTTTATGATCTACATTACACACCGCAGAGAGTTGGTGATCCTGGATTGGACCGAATCATCGAGGTAAATAAATCTCCCACCGAGGGAAATGAGGCATATCACTAATCATTCATGACTTCTGATTTGATACTTCACAAATAAGCCATCGTTGTACGAGTCAACTAGCTTACGGTGCCGCGCTAGGGTGTGCTAGCTGTAGTAGAGGGGGTGTGAAGGGTATTATGATTAGTATTATTTCCGATAATATGAGCCAGGTCGCAGCGGAAATACGTGTACATATTGGCTTAGATAGTAATTGCGGGGCTGTGAGAACATAAAAATTCTTCTGTCTTAATATTTGTAATAGTGCCATTGCAAGAGAAACTTAGATAATCACGGAGTATATAGGGTTCTTTATTAAACGATTCTAGTTCTTATCAACATTTTACTTAGGAAACGACCAACTTATATAAATATTCAGAAAGCTTTTTTAATAATTTACTATATCTCTCCAAACGAAGATCGTACTCGTGATTGGGGGAACAGGAGCTTAGGGCTCAGCTGTGGTTAAAGGTCGCTTTTGTTTATTCTATATTAGAGAAAAGGTGACTAATATACTAAGTAGCTCTTGCTTAGGATAGTAAGTACGAGATTTAAGCTATTATAAAAAGCACTTAGTTAACTAAAGTAAAAATACTTACTAAGCTTCTAAATGTAATGCTTTTTTATAGGAATTCCTATAATAAAGCTAATCTTTAGAAAGCTTATAAAAGTATATAGTTAGTTTTTGCTAATATAAATAGATTTACTATTAGTAAAAAATCTAAGATTTATTAGGGAATTTATATATATAAATTTACTATTTAAAATAGTCTAAAGTATTTTATATAGGCTAAAGTTAATTATAGCTTAAAGCTAGGTAGTTTTATTATAAAATACTACTATAGTTATTTAAATAAAAAAAGTAAAGTTACTAATAAAATTATTTAATATTATTATAGTAGTATATAAGCGGATAACTTATATAATTTCTAAAGTACTTTAAATTTTAGCTAATATTACTAATAGTTTAGTTTATTTTAAGCAGCTACTTATATATTAAAATATTTTTAGAAAAGTAAAGACCTAAAATAAATAAAAGCGGAATTTATATATTTACTATTTTTTTTAATAATAGTTTTATTTTTATAATTTACTTAGAAAATTTTAAATTATATTACTACTAAATATTTAATAATTTAAAAGAATTAAAGAGTATTAATTTAAAAGTAGCTATAACTTATATTAGCTTAGATAACCTTATGTAAGTATTTTAAAAAGTTATTAGAAAGTTATTAAAAGTAGTATTCTTAACCCCTAAGGAATATTTTATAAATAATTATAAACCTTTTAATATAAATAAAAAGCTTAGCTATAGAATAGATAAATTAAATAGGATTTTATAAATAATAAGTTAAAATTCTATTAGATTTTTTAATATATAATTATTACGATCCAAACCAATAAAAAGTACAAAGGAAAAATACCTAGAATAACTATTAACTAAACAGCTAATCGTAAAGAAGGAGTAATAAAAATCAGCGCTCCTATAATTAAAGTAACTTACATAAACGCTCCTAATACTTTAAAAAGCAATAGGTTATAGCGCTCCCTATAGAATAACTAAATATATAAAATTTAATTTTTTACGCTTTTTAAATAACTTAGATAAATAGTCGTTAATAAAGCATTAAGATTAAATATAAACTAAATCTTTATTATATTTTACTTACTTTATAATTACATTTACTTAAAGCTACTTCCTATTCTCTTTGCTAATATAAACTAATTAACCTTAGCTTATTACCTTAGGAACTTACCTTATACTTTATAAGTATTAGGTTAAGATGTTATATATTAATAACTCTTATTTAAAAAGATACTAAGTACCTTTAAGTAATATAAACTACTATACCTAAAGCTAGAGTAGCCCCTAAAACCTTAACTACTAACCTTAGTATATTTATAATTAAAAGCAATAGTAATATTATTATAATAGATTTACTTAATATTTCCTTATTTAGAAATCTAAAACTCTTTATATTTATTTAAAATATATATTAACTTAATAAAGTTTTAGTTAATAAACTTAATAAAGAAAAACTAAAGATTATTAATATTAGAATTTTTATTAAATATTAACTACCTCCTATATTTAAAAAAGACGTTAAAAAACTTTATTTATACTTAATCTAGCTTAAAGTATACTTTAAAGACTTTAAAAATACCTTTAATATTACTAAAAAGAAGGTCCGCTTTACCGCTTTACGCCTTAAAGGTACTGCTTTAAAATAGTTTAGGCCTATCTTAAATAACTATTTAGAAAGTCTAGCTAAAGGAGCTAAAGAATAAATATAATAAATCTTTAGCAATTATAATAAATATATTTTTAAGTTAAAGAAAGTATTTAAAGATATTAGTAAAAACTAAATAGTTAAAAATACCCTAGTTATAATATACTAAAAGGGAAAATACTTAAACTATATTGTAAAATTCCGAGATATTACTGTATAACTTAAATAAAATAAGTCGGCTTTTATTAAGTAATTTTATAATAGCCTTAAATAAGAAGTTAAGGAAAAAGTATATAACGTTAACTAATTAACTTATACCTTAATATTATTTATAGATATTTATATTTAAGCTAATAACTTACTATATAAACTTAAGACTAGTACTACTTAATAATATTAGTAAAACGGCTATTAAGCTAATTAAGGTAAGAAATAATATAAGGAAATTGCTAAAGATAATAGTAGTAAATCTAAAAGAATAAATTTAGATGTCCTATAGCGTAAGAAAGAATTTAAGTACTATAACTGTAGTAAAATAGGCTATATAGTCTGAAACTATTAAGTACCTAAGAAAAAGTATAAGGATAAGATTCTAGAACTAAGAAAGGAGGTTTATATTATAGATAAAAATAAATAATCCTTTGATTTATTATAATAAGAAAATAGTAGCTACGTTTAATATAAGGAAGAACTGGAGGAGATAATTAAGGAAGAAATAACCCTACCTAAAACTATATTTAACCTAGTTAGGAACCCTATAGTTAATAATATAATTTAATAGAACTATAGGTTACTATTTTTTAAAAGATAGTTTAGTAATATTACTAATTTTATTAGAAGTAAATCTGAAGAAATTAACAAACTTATTAAATTCTAATATTAGGTTAATATCTATAACCCTAAGTAAGATATTAAACCCTTTATTTACTAAGAACTCTAAGATAAACTTGCGTAATGGCAACTATATAATAATAAACAATGAATTATTATAAGTCTAGATATAGATAAAATATAGGAACTCTAAGGAGATTACTAATAGATACTTTAAGATTACCTTTAGATTAACCTTATAAATAATAATTATTATAAGATTTATTAAATAAGCTATATTACTTATTAATATTTATATTACCTAAAGTAGAAAATAGAATATAATATATTTTTATAAAGAAATTTAGTAATTTTAATTATAGATCTATATTATAAAAAATACTATAATAGATAGAAGGTTACTTATAAATTTTAAGAACTATGTATTATAATTCTTAAACTATATCTAACTATATTAGAAGAATATAAAAACCACAGATAGATTAAGAACTACTTAAACTATTAATATACTATTTACTAAACTAGGAAGATTTTTTAATAATATAACTAAAATAAAGAAATTAAAGTATATACTTTTGGATAGTATTAATAATATAATAAGCTAGAATACCTTAAATATTAAGGACTTAAATTAAAAAAATAGTATAACGTAGCTTTAGAAAAAAAATAAATTAAAGGATAATAACTTATAAACTAGTTATATAAATTAAGATTTAATTTTAAAACCTATACTAGAGTACTTAATAAACTTCTTTAGAAATACTATAAACTTAAAAAAACACTTAATAATCCATAAAATAATAAAATCACTTATAATATATACATTAGGTAAATAAGATTATATTATAGAGCAGTAGAATAAATTAACTATAAAAATCTATACTATAAATTATATATATTACGTAAAATTAAAGACTAATATTTAAAAAACTAAAACAGTCTTTGGATAAAGGGTACTATAAGACTAATAATGTCAGAAGCCGGGTTCGTGGAAGAGAGTGAAGAGGGATAAGGGATGATCACAGGTAGCTACACAGCGAATACGCAAGCTTAGGGTAGCGAAGTGACTGTATTTATCTCTGCCTTCCTTAACTCCTTCCCTAGATTTTAGGTCTTTTATAGTGTTGTTGCTAAGCTAAGGGCTTCGCAACCCTTAGCTCGCGCCCCCGTAACGTGGCCGGTGCGCGGCCGTTGCGCGACCGCGCCCTCTTTAGATNGGCTCTGACATGTTGCCCTTCCTTCCGAGGCGCCGCCCCGGTGCCTTTGACGATATTCCTTTTCCAACCTCGTGACCGATCCCCTTTGTCAAAGGTGTCGCCTGTGCAAGAGCCTCAACGTGGTTCAAGCTTCGTGCTCGCTTTGTCCTCGCTGTGAACGTGTTGCTATTTTGGGCCCTCCCTTTGTACTCCTGAGGATAAATATAGACAGGAAGTTGAACGTAGTGACAGTTCCGTGATGCTTCTTTGTCGCCTTTGTGACCCAGAGCGGCCGATGCTTCTTCGCAGGGAACAAAGGGGCGAAAGGGGATATAAACCCACCAGAATTCCGATGTAGCAAGGGCAAAGCATCATTGATCTTACCTTCAATCACCCTCGCCTTCGCCGCCTAAATCCTGCGTTATGTCAATTTACTCGCCCAGTATCCTTACGAAGGCCGACTTCTCAGGGGCGGTCCGGTGCNTTTGACTCCTTTCCCTCGTATCGGCCCCGTAACTAACCCGTGGATAGAGCCGTTCCTTGTCGTCGTTGCCTAGGTCATATGTGCAAATGGACAGCTGGGAGTCAACCTCTGCTTTGCACAGATGCAACAAGTTCGTT